AGATTAGGTACAAGCGAGAAGGACGAGGCGAGCTGTTCGGGTTACTAGACACTCTAGAATACGATATCTCTTTGTGTTTGGAGACAGTAGGTGACCTCTCGCGTCGGGTCACTGTTACCGCTTAGGGTCTAAGGTCAAGGCTGCCTGCGTTGTCGGCCATTGCTAGCGATAACGACTATTTGTCGGATTGCCGTGTATTCGGAACAGAAGGAACTGATTTGTTTGTTGCCAAAAATACATCATTATTCTATTAATTGGACTTATTAAATGAATGAGATGAACTTTGCTAAAGCTCATCTTTCAAGTTTAATATAAAAAACGCGTTTGAGCAGAGTTCTAATATATCATTATATAGGTTGGAATTTGGCATTTTGTCTAAAGGTTTCCTATTATTTTTAACAGTGATTAGCAGCTATGGAGGTGAAAGTACTCTTCACGGAAATAAAGTTACCAGTAATATAACGAGATACGGGACTGGGAACGTATACAACTCCCGCTGGCTCAGTGTGTAGCACTTCTCTCTCGTAAAACACTTCCATAATGTTTGAGTTGGCAACAGTAGTATATACCCTCGGACAGAAGTTTGGTTAGCTTAAACCTTACTATTTACCATTCCAGTTGTTTATTTCTGTCAATTCCTCGTCGACACCTTAATAATTTAGCCTTAATGTCACTTAAAAAAAAGACTTCATCAAGGAAGGATGCGTGTCATACTAAGTAGGTATTCCATCACGATGCTATTAAAGCTTGGCCCAGGCATTGTACACGCACTAGAAAACACTAAGTGTATATTGGTACGTAGTACCGTACCGTAGTAGAAATCTACAATGCACGTGCACAAAGCTATATTAAGGTTGATGTAGTGCATTTGTTCCTATGTGCGTAAATGATATATTGATATCACAAGACCATAATTCAAAACATACGATGTACGAAGAAATCTAGAAGATGTGGCCAGCCCTTGAGAGGATTTTTCGGATCTAAATGTGTATTATCAAGTACACATACTTTCAAGATTACACGCATGACAATTATTGTAGGCACATATTAACGTACGTGATTGCGTAGTAAGTGTTCTTTGCGAATTGTTTTTTTAGTTATCTCAATCGCTTCCTTTTTGTTGAGACCGAGACAGTCGTACTCATCGCTTAAGTTGACTACAAGATACATCTCTCCTAAATATCGCTATGAAGCACTTTGCTTGAAAGCACTGCTTGATAATATTCAGATCTCCATGGGCTTCGTCATTGATAATTGACTTTACCTTTAAGAATGATCGATTTGGTTTTGACTAGGTACATATTTTTGTTCAAATAACTAAATCGTCTTCATATTTTCCTAGCTGTTCCAAAGAAAATGACAACATGTGAACGGACCCTTTAAAACAAATTCACGGGATAGGGGTTATCTTGTCGTTAACGGATGTTCTTACGTCATGCACAGAACTAACAGAGAAGTGCCAATATTCTTCCTCTAGTAGACTTCCTCCTCGCGATGTCGTCAGTCAACCACGTGCAGGAGGTGACTATCGTCTCCCCTCACTCAGGGACGTATAATAATCAATTAATATAACTACATTTATCGAAGTATACTTTTACATTACTGCATTGGGCATCAAGTTAATGCTTCTTTAATTAAAAACGTTTATTGATGAATAATTTCAAAATGTATCGGTACACACTGTGGTCGGGTTACGCATCTCTCTTATACACGTGACCGTGTATTAAATTATTTTTGGCCCAGCGACAGAGCTGTTCTACGGAGCCCGGGAAGGAACATCGGGAAAAATGTTAATCCGTGGCCTCGGTTTAGCAATTCGTGGCCTCGGTTTATTAATCCGTAGCCTCGGTTTAAATACAGCCTTTGTTAAACAATTTTACCATTTATAAACACGTAAAGAATATGCACTGGCTGTTTTATTTAACTGGAATAATGGTTTACTTAATGGATTTAGCAGCGATCAACCTCAAGTGTGCAACATGACAAGTCTTGAAATAATCAAAGGAAGATAATTATAATAACACATAATTACCAATTATCTTATTTTTTGTTCTTATTCCATGCATATTGATACTAGCTACTGTGCTTCATGCAAGAAATTTGTTGGAAGAACAATTAGAGACGGGGTGTGGACAATGCATTTGTCCTATGATACAGGTATAATCAACACCAACATAAAATGATACAAGAAAGCCATAATTTATAAACTTTTATTGAAATATCAACACATCTGCAGTAAAATGCAAAAACTTATTTTTAAAAAAATCATTCAAAGGCACTTTTCTATGTGATAAAATAATAGATTTGGTTGCAGAATATGAGCCACAGAGCCACTAAACCGAGACCTCGAATTACTAAACCAAGGCCACGGATTAGTAAACCAAGACCACGAATTACTAAACCGAGGCCACGTATTCCTAAACCGAGGCCTCGGACTTAAGAAAAAAAAAACCCGGTATGTCGCTTCCGGGTCTCCGTACTGTTCTCTTTACGTATATAGGTATATCATATTCTGTGTCGCCAGTGAATTGTTTTCTGTACATTGTAACACGCGTTAGCCACGCACTGAGCGGACCGGTCCAACATATATTATAGGCACGTTAACGTTTGTACGATCGAACACTTAAAAATACTTTGAACTTGAACTAGAACCGAGCGCTAAATATACTCTCAAGGCCGGACGTATTATACCTTTTGGCGCTTAAACAATAGAGTGATTAACTGATAGTTATATATCAATATGCATTCATATTGATCTTTTGGATTTGAAAAATCACGGTACGATCGTAGGACTTCGTACCTATGTACGATAAAATCGATTGGTCATCATGCAAAAAAATTAAAGTTAAACATATTTTATTATGTCACAAACAGTTAATGATTAAGCTTTCCAATTAACCTTAAACGCAACATTTTCAGATTCAAGACGAGCGACATGAAAGACTATCTCGAGATATAAAGTGTGTGTATGATGATACCGACACATGATTGTGAAGGACACGTTTGAATATATATTGGTAATCTAAGAATGTATATTGAATGTTTATATAAAATGAATGACGAGAGTGTAATAGAACTTGTAATCCTTTAAACTTGACAGGATGTTAAAGCGACAGGTCATGGTTTCGGCCGCTCAGCCTTCCTCAATATCTTGTGGAAAATTTTCATTGGAGTACTCTTGTTAGATGTATTTGTTGAAATTCTTAGTGTAGTTGACGAAGAGTGAAAAAGTCTGACAGAAATATTTAGTAAAGTTTTCTCGGCGAACGGACTTGTAATGTGTATTAGTTTGATGTCAGTAAAACAAATCAGTCGACCGTGAAGACAATTCTGTTATGTAGAAATATTAAAATGTATACAATGGACGATTTTCCTATTTATACGGCATAATGCGAGCCTCGTAAATCATCTACATTCTTACTCCGTTTTGTATATAATAGTTTTAGAAGCAAGACTATGTTCAAGGGAGGGAGTTAGTTTCTTTTTCAATCTGTTCGTCTCATCGTCACTCATTGGACAAAGATTCATACCAAATGTACCTGATGCTTACTGACTATTAAGGTCACAAAAGGTCATGTGTTCAGCCTTGTCAGGTTGACCCATTTCAGCTAATTGTCTAGTTAGACATCTAATTTAGCGCCATTTCCATAAAAAAAGAAGAGTGAAATCTTTTTTTTTTTAAGTCATGATTTATTTTCTTATTGTGGAAAGAGACATTGACGTAAAGAACATATTGGAACTCGTTCAGGTGAACGATTAGAAATATCGTCTGCTGATATTGACAGAATGGCGGGAAATTTACGCGCGATAAAGGTGTCGCCTTTGTGTGAATTCTGAACGCTAAAGCAGTATTCATCATCTGATTATTTTTCTATAAATTAAACAGTTTGTGTGAGTTTTGTGTGATCGTAAAGTCCGCGGACGCTGTATGAGTCTAACTCGCTTTACTTTTAGAATCTTGCTCTTCAAACTTCAGATCTCGCTGTCTCATAGTACACCTTCCGTGTATAACTGAAACGTCTGCTGGGATCTGTTCAACAGACCTCTGGACACGCGTGTTTTAGCCATGCTCAGAGAACCTCTCTGTCCGTATTATCTGAGGTCGGGAAACTGTGCTGCTGACTTGGCGAAAAAAAACGAGAATCGATTGCGGTGACTAATATACTTCGAGCTCGACCTACTGAGCAAGGTCTTCGCTGGTGGCCTAAATCTCTGCTACTGACCACAGACATATCCCTGTGATTATCATGGATGGTAGATCGTCCTGTACCAAAATTAAGAGATTAATAGTTCATACCAAGTCCTTGTGGTATATAGTTATCGGTCTTACATGTTTTGGGGTTATAACTGGACCATGGACTTTGATCTACGTGTACAGGGTATGTTGCTAGTGACGTAAATTCGTAGCATACCTTACTGTTGCTATGGAGACGGTTAATTGATCAGAAGTCGTGTGACAGGGACCTTACAGATTTAGTCTCTGACCAATTTTGACCGTATCAACGTTATGTAACTTGACCCATCCTTTCTTCCTCAATCCTATCCACGGCTCCATTATTTCACTATATAACTGTATCCCGTACCATCACGAAAACAAAAAAAAATCGTTATATTATATGTTTACATGATTTACATCTTCTCTCAATTTCCATAGAATATTTTTCATGTTTGGTTTTATCATTATCATCCTCTTTTGTTAAATCACAATCTCTATGAAATTACTTATCCATTGAAGGATTGAAAACAAAGTAATTCATAGCTTTCAAATTTAACTTTTAAAAATTAAAAAAAAAACTTAAAAAAACTTTATAAACTGTTAACACAATTAAGCCCATCTGTCCATTAAAAGTTCTTAAATCATTAAGGTTGGCTGATGTTTGACTACATCTGGTTGTGTGATTTTGTAGGTGAAAATATTTGATATTCTGTAATGTTTCGGCGAGTTGATAAGATCATTATGGATATTAAAAAAAAAATAACTTTGTTTATTTCTTTTGTAGATCTGATCATGTAACTCGAGAACAAGCTGCAGTAGCCAATGGCTGTAGCTGCTACGATGAAGGTCACCAAATTTGATGAGTGCAGCGAGAAGGACCTTGAGTTCGAGCCGGAGCCAGAACCGCGCACGAACTCACGATGTCCAGATGGAGGCTGGGGATGGGTGATTGTGTTCGCCTCATTTATGTGCAATGTTATTGTTGACGGTATATGTTTTACGTTTGGACAGTTTGTACAAGACATTATAACGTACTATGATGCTGGTCATTGGAAAGCGACACTTGTCGGGTCGCTACTGGTGGGATGCTACTTGTTGGCTGGTATGTACAACATTCTGTCAATTTTTTTTATTCAATTTGTTGAACATTCTTGTAGAAACAATTTTTTGCAGACATCTTACAATTTTTCATAGCTAGAATATATACATTCAAAAAAAATTTATGTAAAAATAAAAATAAATCAATTGATTTTTTTTTTATTAAAAAGTGTTGGATAAGTGATACAGTTTTCAAAACTAATTAAAGTAAATTATGTTACATGCAACACAATTTTGATGCAATTTTGTTTTTTATAATTACATGCATCATCTCTTAAAATAATTTTTTTAATTTTAAGAAAAACTTGATTTGGTATAACAAATTTTTCTCCTGCTTCCGAAGTTCTTACAAGATTTTAACACTGAGGATTTTCCGTTTACAGGACCGATTGGTGGTGCCCTGGCCAATAGATTTGGGTGTCGTAAAGTGACAATATTCGGGGCAATTCTGGCTTGCGCCGGGTTCCTCATCAGCATGTCTGCGCCCTCAATAGAAATCCTGGTCTTGACCTACGGCATCATTGCTGGTATGTTGTTGTTTGGTTGTTCTAATGAATACTGTTGGGAAAGATGAAATTGTCACTAAATTTTATTTCAAACATTGTATTGGGGATAGTTGTATTAATTTTCAGAAATTGTGTTGGAGAAATCAAGGATATTGAACTTAATTGCAATATTTGAATGAAAAAAATATTTAAAAAGGAGAAAAGAGTAATATATTAAGACAAAGGGGAAAAAAAAAAAAATTAAGACAAAGGGAAAAAAAAAAATTTAAGACAAAGAGACACAAAAAATAAATCATTTTGATATTTTCAATATCTCTTAGATTTGTCTTACTATGTTTTTTGCGAAATTACAGGTGCAGGTCTGGGATTGATTTACTTGCCAGCCATAGTTATCATAGGTTACTGGTTCGAACGCAAGCGTGCATTTGCAACAGGTATTGCACTCTGCGGGTCAGGAATCGGCACCTTGATCTTTGCACCTCTAAACAAATACTTACGGGAGGAATATCATTGGAAACAGTGCACAATGATCGTGGCTGGCATTGTTTTACAGTGTGTCATTTGTGGTGCTTTGTTCCGTCCACTGGAGCGACCAACAGTAAAACGTATGAAACGTGGTGTAGTGCAGAGAGGCTCTATCATGAAAGCTCTCATTTTAGAGAAAGAACGACAGCGAACCATTAGTAACGGCTCTCTAGATAATTGTATCATCACAAAAGACAATAGACTTATCAAAATTGACAAGATAGACTTACGAAATAAGAGTTCTTCATATATTAATCGACTCAAAGAACACTTAGGTTACAGCTCTCGCAGTTTGCTGCGGAGTAAAAACAGTCTTATAATTCATGGGAATGGAGTTACCAATGGTAGTGTCAGTGGAAGTGCATGTTCCACACCCCAGAGGACGGGAAGCTTTGTTTCAACTCATCCATCACTTGTAATGCCATCCCCGGAAACTCCACCGTCTGAAGAACCTAAAAAAGTATCCCCTCAAAAAAGACGAAAACGGGATTATGAAAGACGTTTGGAGAGAAGGGACAGTGGTTGTGGAAGTCTGGAGTCTCCAAAAGCAAGGAGTTATGACGCTCTGCCACAAGACGACCCATGGGAAAAATTATCTCAAGAAGGATCTTTGAATACAAAGAGCCTAAGTTCGAACACGCTGAACAGTCAAGACAATGTTAGTCTGTCATTGCCTAATGGAAAGACAAATGGAAGTTTTTATAATGTTGCTGATAATAATGGCAACTCTAGATCTCAATCCAACAACCATTTGTTGCCGCCCCAGTGCATTCTGGGATCGTCTGTAATGACTGTACCACCACAGTACAGTGCTAGTGTGCAGACGATTGAGAATTACGAAGAGAGAGACATACCTGTTTGGATACAGAGTTTGAGTACGATGTTTGACTTGTCGCTGTTGAAGGAGAAAGCCTTTGTATTATACGCATTAACCAGCTTCCTCAACATGCTTGGTGAGTAACAGACTTTTTATATTATTGAATGGTGGAAAGAAAGATTTAAAATTTGCTTCTTCATGTTGACATTTTGGAGAGACAGTTTTGCAAATATTAATGAATTTTTAATGGCACAATCTTTTGTTTTGATTGTAAATATTTGGGTAAATTTTTTATTGATATAAGAATTTAATGAAGAAAAGATGACAAGTTAACCCGCTAAGGTTTTAGATTTAGCTGTCCCAAGTTTATTTACCGGTATTTCTGTTTCATATTACAGGATTTTTCATTCCTTACTTTTTCTTACCTGAAAAAGTGCGTAACATGCCAAAAGAAGACAGCTCGACTCCTGACCCAGAATCATTTGTCCTCGCTGTAATTGGTCTTTCCAACACTTTAGGCAGAGTTTTGGCGGGATGGATCGCTGACAGACCATGGGCGAACTCAGTGCTCATTAACAACTTAAGTCTCGTGCTAGCTGGTGTTATTACAATTCTTTGTCCATTCTGTAACACATACTCGCTGATGATTCTGTTTTCTTGTGGATTTGGCCTGACAACAGGTGAGAAATTTAAAAATATTTTGGTAAAAATTGATGAAATGTCTGCCAAAGTCATTAGTGCTGTTTTGAGGCACTTGGAAATGTAGATAGTTTACAATGAGATCAATGGAAACATTACTAGCCACTAATCCATGCTGTCTTCTTTAGAAGAGAGGTTTTTTTTTAGATATTACCGATCTCTTGGTAGCCAGTGACCATAGCATTGTGTGGAATTAGATATGAAAAGATTGTGTGTTGATCTTAAAAAAATACGTTGAACTTCAACAAAATATTTATATAATGGTGAAAAAAATGTCGGTATTTGAGTCCCTGCTCATAAAAATTGAATCTGAATCATCAGAAAGCAATTTAATTTTATTGAATGTAACGGTGGTAGTTTTCAAATGTAATTATTGATAAAACCAACTTCTTTAGGTATGTTTGATAATTGGTTGAAGTGATTAAATGATGGTTTTTGGTTTGGTGCTTTATTATCAATTTTTTACAAACTTTCTGTTAACAGCGGCCTTCTTGTCATTACGTTCCATTGTCCTTGTGGATTTGATCGGGCTGGAGAGACTGACCAGCTCATTTGGTTTGTTGATCCTGTTTCAGGGTGTCGCCTCCATCGTAGGATCACCATTAGCTGGTAGGTATCAAAGTCATGGATTATCCCCCTTTTGTGTATATATATATATATTCCTATATAAAAGTTGAATTCTCAGTGTCTGGAGAAATATATTAGAATAACTCAAAAAAAAAAAAACCGTCGAATTAAGCATTAGCAATTTCACTCCTGTTATGATGTCACAGACATTGTATCTAGGGAATTTATTAAGCATCATGAAGATTAAGTAATGAAAGCACTAATGCATAATTTGACGTGTTGTTTTAAGTTCATAAGTTCAAGTTTATAATTCAGGAGTGGATAGCTTTTCAAAGTCTGGCAAAAGGAATATATAATGCCATTTTTAAGAAATAGGGTTCAGAAGTATATCTACATACTTTTCAATGTCATATGCCTTTCTGTGTCATTTTGAAGGGAAACAAAACAGTCCAAAAAACAAAATCTATTTTGAAAATCAAAATTACTTGTTTTATAGAAAATGTAAACTTTGTTTATTTTGTTTTGTTGAATTTTAACCTTGAGTATGCCTGATTTGTTGTCTTCATTTATTTCAGGTTGGCTCATGGACGCCACAAATCATATTGATTCTGTTTTCTACATGTCTGGAAGCTTTCTCGCATTGGCTGGAATTTTGGGATATCCTTTAATGCGGATGAAACATCGCCAACCTGCTTTACCTCCCCCGCAGGATGACGTAGAACAGTATGGCGATGTGTCACAGGCACAGATTGAGTATGTGAAGCTTGGACAGAAGGAAACGGCTATGTGATTGTATTTTGTGCTCCGTCACAAGGTGACATTTTTAACTGTGGTTTGCCTGTGTTGCGGAATTTTTCCAGGGACGGAACAAGACAACAGATACTAGTCTACTTACTTCGTTGTGTATGTGCGTTTATGTATAACTGACGACCAATATTGACTTGAATGTTGTGAGGGTCTGGGATACAGAAAGTCAAATACCAGAATTGGTTGACAGTGAATTACGGAAACAGAAATGCCAGAATGAAAACAAAGTTGTTGGATCTTTTTTGTTACCATGGAAACATGTAGAAATGAGGAAAACAAACCTTTGTTGAAAATACTTCATGGAAACTACTTGAAAACTGAAAGATGAAATCTGACTATGCTGTTCAAGTGTTGTTAACTTTCAGAAAAGTTTGGTACATTTTAGTACCAGTGGGCTGAGAATATCGGTAGAATACCGAACAATATTGTGTCAAGCATATTAATGTTTGTTTACTCTGTTAAATAGGGCTGTATATCATGGACAGGCAATTGTGCCAAGGTATGTAATGGTTCTGGAGACAGGTGAAGACTTACCATGTTAACGTGGTTATAAATAGACTAGATTTTGTTGAGATATCATCATATATATATGTGTGTACATACAGAATCACATTTTAACTTTGACCTCTTTGACAATATATGAACTTTGACCTTTTTACCTCTCACTGAAGATCAAAAAGTGGACTAGATGTTCGCAGTCAGTCCATGTATTCTTGTTATATTGAATGTTGTGAAAGAGGAAATGTCATGGTCTGGCTGAAAAATCTGTCAGACTCGAACATTTTTGTGGAGGTTACACTGATCAACTATCAAACTTTTTTCATAGTTGAGGTTTAATGTGTTATCTCTTAGGGTCGATGGATAAATATGCTTACGGCAGGGAACTTTTTTCTTTTATTGTCTGGTGCTGCTGCACTTGGGTCAAGGGTCAAAGTTGAAGGTTTGAATTGATTTGGAATCTAAGTTGTGATGTATTAAGTGATCGAGGTGACATCAGCTTGGAAGGACAGGTTGGAAGTTTTGATGAATGTGATGAATGCTTTAAGACTTAAAATGTTTATATGATTCTGTCCCCCCCCTCCCCCAGTCTCTGAAACACTTTTTAAACAGTTTTTTTTTTCTTCAAGTTTCTTTTAATGGAAAAGCTGTTTACATCCACTATCAGCAGACAACAATATGTAGATATGTATGTTTATTTTAAGATACTGCTTTGAGAAAAAGGAGGTGAAATATGTTATGGATGGACTTACTGCCTTCCTAAATATGCTGTTACATAAATAGTAACCTCATCAAAATTCTGGATGTGTTATTCAGGTTTTCATTATTCTGAATTCCTTAATTATTGCCATTGATGCATTTTCCTTATCTAAGAGCTTGACTTCCTCTTGAGTTACTAATGTCTTTTTATTTGGATTTTTTAGAGAAATTCACTAAAAATATATATATTCAACTAAAAAAAAATTAATTCAAAATTCATGATTATTTATGTTAAATCATGCAGTGAAATTTTTTTGACGTAAATTTGTTCTGCAGATTTTGTATATGTTTACATGATTGTGTTACTTATGTTGATATCCAATGAAGGTGAGTTTAGAACATTGTTTGAAGGTCAAGGTCATGGAAGCTTTCAGCACATACAACAGTGCCTTTTGTGATGTGAAAATGGATCTGTGCAGAATGTTGGTGTGTTGGTCTTTGTGACACAGAAGTACATAATGAGATTTTGAGGTGAAAAAAGAACATGTAACTTGGCATTATTTTGTGATGTTTACTCTGTGAGATAGATGTACATGTTTTTGATAATGAACAGAGGCAGACACTTTTTGCTAGTGTTGGGGAAGTGATGACAGAGACACATCAGACATGGAGTGACTAGAAAGGTCCTTAGTATGGAATTGTAAAAATAAAAAATCTTGTTGCGCATGCAAATGATTATCACACTCGGGACATTTGTACAAATTAAACCATACAACACTTATTGAAAATATTTCAAAGGGAGACAATAAACTGAATGATAGCAGCGGCTATACTTTAAACTTCTCTGAAGAATGTCGACCTGTTTGATATATTTGAAGAACATGACTTTGAAAGGTGTTTTGTGTACTAGTTGAAAACTGGCATTTTGCACAGATTGTGATGAGAGTGCGGGTGTACTGGTGTAGTTGTGATAGTACAGTCTGTGCATTGTTAAAGTATACATATATATATATATATCTTTTTCAAATATACAATTATGAATGATAATGAGTGTATTAATGAATTCTGATATTCAATTAAGCAAACAAATGTTACATGACTTCATATGTTTTGCTCATGTGACTATTTTTACATTTCATTGACCTTTAACCTTGAAAGGTGTGTAGGACAGTCCAGGTCAAGGTTGTTTACAAACTGCAGTGAAACAAGCAGTATTGGACTTGATGAACTTTGATAACCTTTGACACCAAATTTGATTGGACTGGGCCTGCTCACCTGAAGGTCAAAGGTTACTGAACACTAAAGAAGGATATTTTGATTTGTGTACATATAAAATACTTTGAGTAGTGTAATAAATTACTAGGCTGTTTAGGTAGATGTTGTTTTTTGGTATAAATGTAGCATTATAAAGCATGTCTATTTCATATGTTGTATTTCATTTATATTGTTTTACTTTGATATTCAATAGAACAGAATCTTGTCACAATCCAAGAGTTTTACGTTTGTCCAAAGCTTATTTTGACTCAAGTTTTTGGTAATTTCTTTTTCGCGTAATCTAGGTATATATATAAAATATCTGTATTTATTTTTCCGTTGAAAAGAAGTAAACGTTTATGTTGGAAGATTGAAGTTATTGGACTAAAACAAATCCATGTCTTAAAGAGTAATAAATGATTGAATTGTGACAAAGTTCAAATTGATTTGAAAACTACTTGAAAATATTTCATGTTTGCTTGAGTATTTTAGGCTGTAGGCTGTTTTGCTTGTGATAATAAGGATGACTGAGAATTAGTGCTAATCACTGTATGTTAATTTTTATGTACCTTCAAATTTCTTTTTCTTATTTTATTTGTTTTTAAAACTGTTTGAATTGAAGGCCAGACAACCTTTGTTTTACCCATTTGTGCTTTTTGTATTTGTAACCTGTTTTTACGCTGTGACACACATCATCAAGATTGTTTCAATGGCCTTGTGAAAATGGTACCAATAGGACATAAAGATAATGCTTCTAGAGGTTTCTAACAAATCTGTGTTCTTCTCTATCAGAGGTAATGCAGTTAAGTTTTGTAAGCTCAAATATGGATGAGATGTTTTTCAGACATAACTTGTCTTGTTTCAGTTATATACTCACATATTCCTACCCTGACAGTATCTTTCAGTTTCTCCACCTTCATCAACACTACCAGGCCTCACCTGGTTACCCTAAACTCACCCCTCCCCTACCTCACACCTATCCCACCAGATCTCCCTCCCTTTCCCTCGACATCATCCCTCCCTCGACATCATCCCTCCCTCCAATCCCTCCCTCGACATCATCTCTCCCTCGGCATAATTCCTCCCTCCGATCCCTCCCTCGACATCATCCCTCCCTCCAATCCCTCCCTCGACATCATCCCTCCCTCAACATCATCCCCCCTCGACATCATCCCTCCCTCCAATCCCTCCCTCGACATCATCCCTCCCTCATTCCACCAGGCCCTGTTTCCCTAACTACTGTTCCCACTCCTTCACCCCATCTAGCATTACTGCTTTTACACCTGTCCATTACAACCCCACTCTCTCATAACACTTACTGTTTGCCCCTCCATAGCAGCTCTCCTCTCCATCCAGGTCCTCTCGTACTTAGCCTGTACCCAACCCCCACCCACCTACCCACACCTTCCACACACCCCCAGCATTATCTTTAACACAATATCCCCACCCCTACCTCTTGTACTGGTTTGATATTCACCCAGGCAACCCATGTGTCACATTTTCACATTTCTTGTCTGAACGCACAGTTTTATACTAACGATATGTTTGCTTTGTAATGTGAATCATGTTTGAAATTGTGCTGCAAGGACCATTTGTTAATAGAATTGTAGATAGTTGCACTGTTTGTCAGATTTCTGCGAAGTGAATTTTAGCTTACAAACATTTTCAGGATGACAAACACTTTTGGTGTGTGTGCATGGTGACATCTATCAACAGTTTTTTTGTTGATAAACTATTGTGAAGTACATATTCAAACTATGGTGAAGTACAACTATGGTGAAGTACAACTATGGTGAAGTACTATGGTGAAGTACAACTATGGTGAAGTACAACTATGATGAAGTACAACTATGGTGAAGTACATATTCAAAAGAAATAAAAATCTTGGATACATTTAGTGCTATAATTTAAAAAGTGGGGGTAGCAAAATAATTAGACTTATAACTTTTTCCTTTTTATAATTTTTTTCTTTTTTGTTTTAAAGATATTTATTTTATTTAAGATGTACTTAATAATTCCAATATAAAAGGGTTCTTGCATGGCTTTATGCAGCTTGAGAAATTGATTGGTCAGTTTGTTTAAAAGTATGATTGATTAGTAGAATAACGTACATACCTGGAGCAATCATTAGTTAGATAACGTAGTGTTAAGTGTAAGCTATAATAGTAAGGTGTATGTTTAATTGTGTTTGATAAGGTACGTATGTAAGAAGTGATTTGATTGGTTGGTTTATTAGATAGCTATGTTGTATGTTATTTGATTGGTGGAATATATGTCTTTTTCAGTGTGAATGTGCTTAATTATGTTTAAAAAGTTCCTTGTCAGGTGCTTGTAACCATAGAAACACAAACTGGATGTTGACCAGGTGTCATGTCAACCCTTCCACCCCTACATATGCCATCAGCTGGTCTAAGATGAAGCTAAGTCTGATACAGACACAAATATCGAAGTGAGGTTTTCTTTCAAGTTCTCAATGAAATTTGTGATATATCAAATAGTTTTGAAAATATGCTTTCAACATCTTCTCACACAAAACTTTTTTTTTAATCATTTTGGAATCTATTTAATACAGGTATATTTCGCTTGGTATGGTTGGATTTGGAACTTTAAGGTTGTGTAAGTTGCTGTTTGATCTTGATATGATCAAACGATGTGGTTTTCGTATTTGCTTTCATAATTGTATTTCGGGAATTTTTTTGTGAAATGTCTTAAAATCAGCATTCTGATAAGTGTAAAGTATACTTTGTATGACTTTTGAATTAATGATATTCATTTATGTTAAATATCTCCAAACTGAACATTTAACTGTTTTATAAAGATATTTTGGACAGTTTGGAAGATAATGCTGAAAAAATCAGTTGGATTTTCCTCGAAATATGATTATTGAAAGTGTTGTACACAGAATGAAAAACAGTGACATATGTCATATGCTTCATAGTAGAAAATAGTGGATTTTTTTCTTCTCATCATTTATGCAGTTACCAGCATTTGATTTCCGCTGCCCGTAGTATCTAAACATATAGAAGGCTAATCATTTACAGGACGTTTCTGGGTACGTTGACGAAGGAACCAATCCATACACTAATATTTCAAAGTCGATCTATAATTTGACATCTTCATATTGCATATCATTTGAATTTTAGACCAAATGGATTAAATGTTCCCTCAAGCGATCCCCGAAAAAGTCTTCAAAATTTTGAGTTATGCGACAAATCTGACTAACATAGGGCATTAAAGTTAGATTACATTAAGTTTTTCTCCAAATCTGAATATTCCTTTTACAACCGACCTTTGATTGATAGTGAGAGATAGTTAATTTGAAGATGTTTATCATTTTGTTTTTTGATTGGCCAGTAGAAATAATTACAGAGCAAAATGACAAAAGTTATACGATAAGGTCGTTTGTAGACAGAAGTTTGGTTTGGTGTTGTTATTTGCATTGATGGGTTTAAGAATTTGGTAACAGATTCATTTTAGTATTTTCCTCAATGTTGTATTGTTTCTCTGATCTCCTCTTGCTTTTGAGTGTTTACTGGGAATTTCAGAAGTATAAAAGTCCTGAAAAAATGTAGACATTTCAGAAACTTCCATACACTGAAGTTGAAAACATTTTCTTGATAGGTCTATTTTCTTGTATTCATTTTGTTCTTATATTGTGGAAAAATCTTTATAAAGTATAGGGCATGTATAAAAGACTCAAAAGTGTATAGGATCTGTCAGTACAAATAGATAGCGTATGATAAATTAATCTGTATCATACAGATGTTTTAGATAGAGTATGATAAATTAATCTGCATCATACAGATGTTTTAGATAGAGTATGATAAATTAATCTGCATCATACAGATGTTTTAGAAAGAGTATGATAAATTAATCTGCATCATACAGATGTTTTAGATAGAGTATGATAAATTAATCTGCATCATACAGATGTTTTGGTTTTTTTATTGGCTATTATATAACATTGATATAATGGAAGAATGGAACTTTGTTAGATATTAGAATTAATCCTGATTTCAAGTTGTCATTTCAAAGTCGGAAATTTATAAACGTCGTAGATTATCAGAAGTTCTAAGAGTTATTTTTAACAGGAGATTGTATTTTATACAAAGTGAAAGTACTTTCTCATCCAGGTAAAAACTATCTTTTAAAGGCATTTTATCTTCAACAATATTGTCCACCTCCTTAGTTGAATTACAACACTAAAATATGGGCTGTTTACATTATAAAGACCCAGGATGTGTTGTAATTCCTCTGTACTATAGAGTTTTAAACTATCAAACACTCCACTGTTATCGTTCATGTCTGGAGTGGAAAAAATGTACATGTCATGTTTAGCTGATTGGGTTCCGAGCAGCATAGCTTGGATTTCGAACTGCAGAGATCTGTATGTGAGGATTAAATGGACATGTTGCAGCCCTATACACTCATGTTAGTTTTAGTCTGGTGTAAAAGTCGAATACAGTATTCCTCCCCAATTGGGTTTACTGTGCTGTAAGCTTTTCAATTTAAATACTAGGTGGCGCTCAGGTATTATATAGATGGCGCTTTTCATTCAGAAAAATACAAACTTATTGTCAATCATGTTTCAAGTTACATTGAGAAATAAATTGTTTAAAAAGATATTATTTGTGTTTGTTTTATGTATTCATTATCAATTTGGTCCTTTTAAGGAGATTTAAGATAATTCATAGACAACACCAATTGATTATGGAATATTACACTTCATTTCTGTAAAGAATGATGGATGTTCTAGAAACATCAAAGTCCAGTAACTGACATGGATCCACGGATACACTTGCTAATGGTTCATTTTGTTTAAGATTTCATTGAGATACTACTACACCTTTGGACAATTGAACTACAGTCGAAACTCATTATCTCGAAGTCAGTGGGACCATGGGAAAACTTCAAGTTATCAAAGTATTCGATTAAAATGAGTTTGAATGTTTAGTGTGAAATTTGGCCGGGACTGACAGAATACTTTGAATGTAACTGAGTCTTGGAGTTAAATGAGTTGGAGATAACGAGGTTTGACTGTACACTTATCCAAGCAAGGCAATGTATTCATGCGGAGAGTGAATTAACCAGTTTATGTCCTTGTACTTAATTTGTCTAAGTCAAAATTGCTACAGTAGAATTACAGTTCAAATATGTAAGAGTACAGTAGTTATTGGAATCGGGATTAATTAGGGTTTTTTTGGTCTCTTTAACTTTTAACTCTGAAAAATATCTTTTTGACAATGAAAGTGCACGTTTTATTTTAATCTTTTGTACAGCGTCATGTGATGTAAACTTTTAACATTTTTGACTTCTTCTTGAAAACTCCTGAACCATTTTTTTTTTTACAAAAATCTTCCATGGCTTGTCACATCAAATTGTAAATTACATGGTTCCCAACCCCCATAAGCCTGAGGGGCGGGGCTAAAAAGTCTCAAAATGATTGAAATTTCAAAAAACTTCTTCTCATATCCCAGTTATGGTAGAAACCTTGAACAATCAGGTATTATTTATGGATGGTAAGGCCTTCAGATACTTTACCAAAATTGTGAGTTTCATGGCCCCAGGGTCTCACATTTCCCCGTGGGGAGGGAGTAAAGTTTACTATAGTTTATAAAGGAAAGTCACATTTTTTAACACTTAGTTTATTTTCTATTGAAAATAGTTCAAACCTAGATATATTTTATTAGTTTAAGATAACAGTTTAATGAGATGCACATATTGACCTCGGCTGACCCCCATGGGCTTATGGGTGGGGCAAAAATCCGGTCAAATTGACTGAAATTTCAAATTTCTTCTCAAATTGCAGGTGTGGTAGAATCAATTTATCTTCCTGGATGAAAAAGGCCTTCAGATGCTTTACCAAAATTGTAAGATTCATGACCCCAGGGTCTCACATTTCCTCCCAGGGAGGAGGTAACATTTACTATAGTTTATATATATATTATTTTGTTTTGGAAATAGAGTTATTAGGTTAAGATGACAGTTTAATAAGATGCAAATATTGACCTTGGCTGACCCCCAGAGGCTGATGGGCGGGGTCAAAAATGGATCAAAGTGACTGAAATTTCAAAATTCTTCTTCTCAATACCCAGATAATATAGAACCAAGTACACTTCATTGATAGAAGTGTCTTGCGGTGTTCTGTAAAGATTGTAAATTTGTAAATTACCATAGGGGCTCGAATTTCCCCCTGGGGGAGGGGGAAAAATTAATTTTATGCAGGAAAATTACATTTTTGAGCATAATTTGTTTATTTTCGTTCATAAATAGTTCAAATTTGGTTAGAATTTATTTGATGATCTGACCTATTGCCATCGTGTTTCTTCTGCTGTCGTGCGCCTTGTGCCGTGTGCCGTCCGCCGTGCACAGTCTGCCGTGCTTAAATTTGCCATTCAAATCACTTCTTCTCAATAACAAAAAGTCTTAGGGTACTGATATTGGGCTTATACATGATTGGATGAGAGGCTATCAAGTTTGTTGATATGAATAACCTTGACGTACTTTCAAGGTCACAGGGGTAAAATATGTTTAAACCTTTAAAGGACTTCTCAATAACCATTAGGCCCATGGTGCTGATATTGAACCTGTAGCATGCGGGAAAGAAGGGCAACCAAGTTTGTTAATATGAATGACCTTGACCTTCTTTCAAGGTCACAGGGTTAAAGTATATTAAATGTTTAAACAACTTCTGAATAACCAATTGGCTCAGGGTACTGGTATTAGGCTTGTACCATGCGTTGTATTAGGTCTACCACTTTCAAGGTCACAGGGGTCAAATATGTTAAAATGTTTAAATGACTTCATTTCAATAACCAAAGGGCCAATGATCTTGATATTGGGCCTGTACCATGCTTTTCACCAATCAATATGTCAGAAGTAATGACATTAGTTTAGTGTGTAAAGAATATGTTTTCAAGTTTGCAGATAATGTCTTTATAAGCAAACCAATGTCTTCTATGAAAACTGAGGTGTAGTTCAGCAATTTGCTTCAGGCCTATTTTTGTCTTCACGGTCAGATGATCCGTGAAGGCCCATGGACCTCTTGGTTTTTATTAGTATAAGCTGATTGTCTGACGAGATGCACATAATAACCTTGACCGACTCCCAGGGGCTGATTGGCGGCGCCAAAAGTGGATCAAATTGACTGAAATTTCAAAGATGTTCTACTCTTCCTGGATGGAAGATTTTATATAGGAAAATGCAAATCTTGAGTGAAATTTCTTTTAATTCAAACTTGGTTAGAAGCCTTAGCTTAGGGCAACAGTTAATGTATACATAATTCACATTTGCATTATGTGTACAATATAGTTAAAATTACATTACCGTTTTTATCAAAATCATTTCTATGACATGTTACAAGAGCAATTGTGACTCCGGTAACCGTTAACGCCCTTGAGACTTTGTTTTAAAACATCTCCCAGCAGCCATTAAATATATACATGGTACAAAGATTAGGAGCTGCTGAACAAAACCTGTTGTGATCTCCAACAGACATTACAAGGGAAAGGATAGTCCATTATTATTTCATATGTTCATTTGAAGACGATGTCCACGAATGTGGAGGCTTTGTGCCACGAGTCCGTCTTCTTTTAAAAATGTCAGGTCGCTATTTCGCGAAAGTGTTAACATATATCTTTCTTAAATCTCCATCAACATCATCACTATGGGCCCTAATTGTGTATGCCAAGTTGTGAGCGTCATCAAATTCGAAATAGACTCATTTTTGAAAGACACTACAAAGATCTTCCGCGAATCCGGCTTGGATAATGCCGAGCTTCTCCCTGCTAATAAGGTACATTTTTATACAATGAAATATTTTTATTTACAAAATTGCTCAGAGAAGAGAAAAGAAAAGACGAAAAAGAACTATTTCAATTTAAAACAACTTTACTGACATAACATATGTGATGAATGGGTTGGACACCAGTCAGCTCCTAGTTATTGCCTCCCTTACTGAAAGAGATCTTGCGATCTATTGCAAAGTGAGATTTCATATTTAGGACATCATGGGATGACATCTGGCCCCACTTGTATAAAACATCTCAACTTGAGATTTCCTCAAGTCGAGATTTTCCTCAGCTAATATTAAATTCAGATGTTTTATACAAGTGGGGATCTTATAAAACTGTTAATGAAAAGATATTAAGGTCATCTTAGTACACATCCGTCAGATTTTTATTTGTCACGGGTCTGACTCTTTATCTGTCGTCCAGATTCTGAATGTCATAACCTAAAGAATGTGACGGAAGTGTGGACATATCTCCTTACGGTTCTCGCTATCTGTACTACTAAAGTAATGATTAGATGACAAAAACACTCAGGTCAGAACATTTGCTTGGCACAACATTGTTCAGGACATCAAGGACATGTAAAGACAATGCATGATGATAAGGCCAAATAAATCTAGATAAAAAACACTCCATTTATAAAGATAAGGAAAAAAGGAGGACAAATTATTATTATCTTTCTTTTATTTGTCATACATCTGTTGTAAGATAAATCCCACGTTTGGTGTACCGGTATTGTTGAAATCTAAGTCAAGTAGGCTAATGATATTAGTCATTCCGAGACAATGGTAAACCATCTTGTAATCCTATTGTGTCCGGAGGTTGATATATAGGTTTATACACCATGACATCGGTGTATACCGAGTCTGGCCTCGTGATGTTATCGGCAAATACATAAACGTCACTACATTTCAAAAGGATTCGTATACACAATATATAATTCTATTTTGTTTGACCTAATTTTCTAACGACTGAAATAGGTTTACAAGGCGATCGGTTATTGTAGCTTTTAAAATTCAACCATATCAGTTCGTGGCCCAAAAGAATTCTTTAAGAATAATATTGTATCTGCATGTATATGTACGGAGCCCGGGAAGGGACATCAGGAAAAATGTTAATCCGTGGCCTCGGTATAAGTAATACGAGGCCTCGGTATAATTAATCCGTGGCCTCGGTTTAAATAATCCGTGGCCTCGGTTTAAGTAATACGTAGCCTCGGTTTAAGTAATACGTAGCCTCGGTTTAAATAATCCGTGGCCTCGGTTTAAATGCAGCCTTTATTAAACAATTATACCATTCATAAATACGTAGTCGGGGACCACGAAGGATTGTGGCACGGCCGGGAAGAAACATAGGTAAGCTGAAAGATTTATACTAATATTTGAACTAATTACTCTTGTGTTGTTGTTGTGTTAGATGTGCATGCAAAGGGAGGGTGTGGAAATTGAACCTATGGGTTCGATATCTTAAGCTTCAATATGAAGACTTCAGTTCTCTCCCTTTATATCAATATATTTCGATTATACACACTTCAAGCATAGGGATTTTTCTACAATGTGGAATTTGATACAATACCCCCCGCCAAATCAATGTTTTTGATTTACTATTATTGTAGACCAATCCCTGTGCTTTAAGTCCTTGGTACCTTATTATTTTACCATGTATATTCTATCAGGGGCGGATTTAAGGATGAGCCGACACGGTCCCAGACCTTCCCCACGCCACACCAATTTTATTGGCGAAGAATTGATCACTTTTTCAAACATAAATTGATCACCTAAGACTTTTTACTTGCCTAAATATATTAAACGTTAACGTTACCTGTGGTGTATCCA